AGAGTCAAGTCCTGACTCCCTGACGTGCTAGCTGCCTGAACTTGAGCAGGTTACGTAACTTCTCCATAGATTACTTTCTTTGTCTTTAAAATGGACATAATAGTCACCACCTCTTAATGTTGTTTTGAAGATGAAATAGATATACAGCAAGCATTCGATTTATTAAGTGCCAGCTCTGTGCTAGGCATTTTAGGTGCTGGGATTATTCCAACAGTGAATAAGATCTCTGTGCTGTGAAGTTTGCATTCTAGTAGGGGAATAAGGTGCAGCAGACAGAAAGCACTCTGTAAATGTTGGCTGTTTTGTTGTTGGAATTAGTAGCCTTAGCAGTAATTTACTCAGTGGCTACTTGGACTTGGAAAACAGGGTAGAGGAAACTGCCTGGAGGCTGGGGCTGCTGAGGGCCACTAAACAGGCTGGAAGGTCTGGGTTAGGCTGTCAGGAGCGTTTCATTTTCTCAGCAATCAAAGGGCAACACAGCGCATACTCTGTGTGTGTGTGTGTGTGTGTGTTGGGGAGATGGAGTTGAGTACTGGAGACCATGTGACAAAGCAAGCAGGATTTGTTGCTCTCAAAGAGCTCTCAGTTTAAAAAGATCTTGCAATAAAAATGATTTCAGAACAACATGGAGGAAAATACCCACAGAAGCATTGTGGTGTGGTACCTGGAGCATGGATGCAGGCAGAGCCGGGAGGGGAGGGAGTTCTTGGAGTTGTCTTTTCTCTCCTCACAGTCTCTGCCCTGGGGTTTAGTCCCAGGAAATCCATGAGCTCACCAGGCAGATTTAGGGCGTACCTCCCACCCCAGTTCCTGTTCCCTACCTAGGTCACTGAGTCAATCGCTGATGGTCTCTAACCCAACTGAGAGCACTGGTTCATGTCTGCATTCTGGGCACCCACGGGTGACCTGGCCCATAGACTGTTTCTGGACTATTGAATGAAAAAAGAACAAGGGACTGGTTAGGTGGGATGAAGTTGGGAAGACATCATAGAAAGTTAGATTTGGTGCAGAGATGTGAAGTCAGTTTCCCCAGAAAGGATGGTTAGACAGAAGGGAGATAGGAGAGTCAGAAGACTGTTTTGAGGGAGGCTAGAGCAATGGTAAGATAGGATTTTGGGTGGAGATGATGGCCACAGGAAGTCAAAGGCTTTGACTAGAGTGGGAAGACTACTTTGAAAAGTTAGGAGAAAAAGAAAATTGGAAGGAGCAGGAAAAAGAATGAAGGATGAATCTTGACTGCTCTCCGCTGGAGGAACTCATCCATCCATCCATCCATCCATTCATTTGGAAATTCTCTGAGACCCACTGTACCCAGGGGGATGTCCCGAACAGCAGTGAGGCACCTGTGCAAAAACTCACTCAGGGAACGAGTGAAGAAATGGAAGTGATGTTCAAGGGCAGGCCCTGCAGAGCAAGGTTCCCACACATGTGGCTGCAAGTTGAAGCCTGAATGCAGATAAGAAAGTGTGTAGGATGGATTGGAGCAGGAGAGAGGCTGCTGGCTGGGCCTTCCTCTGGGAGACAAGTTACAGTAACGCAGGTGTGAGGCAACCCAGGGGAAGGGCTGAGAGGTGACAGGAAGGTGTGGCCAGATGAACTGACAGGTGGGTGGCAGCAGGCGCAGAGGGAAGGGACAGGGGGAGAGGAGGGTGGCAAAGGTTTGGGCATCGGTGCTGAGACGGTGGTGTGACATTTGTCTAGACCAAGGGATGGATGAATTTAATTTGGGGCATGTTCAAGGTGCAGGGAACAGCATCTAACGGCTGGAGAGAGTTTCTCCAACTCTTATCTGCCCCCAGAAGGCTTGAGTTCACATATCTGAATTTGCAAATGGAGAGGGCCCCCATTCAGATTCCCCAGGGAGTATGTGGGCACGCATGCACACATGCATGGGAGATGGTAGGACTCTTCCCTAGAGATAAACACGGTGGGCACTGACTGCTCTTTGGGAATCACTGGCTTCAACTGGCGTGGAAGACACATCAGTCACTACATCACCCCATAAATCCATGCTTAATTTGCTCCTCCCGTTCTGGGTACTGAGAGTTTACCTGGGAGCATAAGACACTATCTCTGACCAAGATACTCTCTGATCTCTCATCTCATAGAGTTTATGGTCTATTTGGGGAGATCGTATCTGCTTACCCCAAATAATTATGCTGTGATAAGAACCCAAAGTAGATACAGTTAATTCATGTTATTAAAGTTCACAGGGGGCTGAGCGCCTAATGAGCTTGGGTGGGGGAAGCTGCTGCAGGGGAGGCTGCAGGGGAGGGAGGTGGGGCCCTTCGAGGAGCTGCTGACATGGGTTCCCCAAAGATCTTGACAGTCAGTGAACAGACACATCTTAATTTAATGCACTTGGGGGAAGGAAAAAGCTGAGTGGTCCCGTGAGGCGGTTGGGTTGGAGTCAGACCGCAGGGGCTATGTCAGCTCCTGCTCCACACGCTGCACCCAGCACAGGAAGTCACACTTTAAAGCCTCCTCAGGCGGAAGTTGTGGGGGAGTTGGAGGGATGCTAGGCCACCCCCTCAACTGTTTCTCTATGGCACCCCCTCCCTTCCTGCCCTTCCCTGCTGCAGGCACTCGAGCTGGGGTCTGGGTGCTCTGAGCCTCCCCTCCCCCCATTTCTGCTGCTGAAGACCCAGCTCAGCAGAGCAGGCCGGTGTCCACGAATAGTGCTGGCTGCATCACCTTCCTTCTCACCTTCACCGTCCTTCTCAGGTCACCTTCTTTCCTGGCAGTGAATTTTCAGCGTTCAAGTTTTCCCTGTGCTGCCGTTGGTCTTGAGGGAGAGGCTGTGGGCTCTTAGAACTGGACTTACTTCCTCAGGATTGTGTGGAGACCTCAGGGAGGTCCCCAAACTGAACCCAGCTGGCCATAACTGGCCAGGCTGTGGGAATGCAGTGAACCCCGGGTGGGAAGGTGGCCTTGGTTTGTTTCCTTCTGGAACTGGGGAGTGTCAGGGGGCTAGTGGGAGAACCCAGGGAATGGGTTTATCTGCTGGCAACTGGTTGAACCAGGAGGAGGAGGAGGAGGAGGAGGAGGAGGAGGAGCCTTGGAGGGGCCTGGGCTGAGGGCTGAAGGAAGGATGCAGAGGGCAGGGAAGGAGCTGAGAGGCCCTCTGGGAGGGGTGGGTAGTGATTTGGTGGGAGGAAGCCAGGGGTCGACCTAGACTTCCTTTTGGGATTGCATGGGAGGGAGCTGTTTCCCGAAACCTGTGGCCCAAATGGGACAGGGGTCCATTGCCTGGCTTTTTTGAGGAGGAAGGGGAGGAAAGGGGGGCTCTGAGTGGAGACAGACCAGCCCAGGAGAGGAAGAAATAGGTTGGGGTCTCAATCCCTGGCTGCTGCCTTCAGAATTTCTGCTGATTCATGACCCTTGAGGAGCTGGGGAAGCTGCTGTCCCCTCTCCCCTCCCTCCTTCTGGCCTGAGTCACTGGGCGGAGCTGCTGGGAAATTTTCCTTTCCCGGATCTGACTTAACCCTCAGTGGCCTGGAGGTGGGGGCCTGGGCTGAAGAAAGCTTCTTTCCTTCCCTCCTGGGAAGCTCAGTCCTCACAGGCCAGAGGTCCGTGAAAAGCTCCTCCTCCTCCAGGCTGTCCAGGAACTGAAGACCCCAGCTCTTCCTCTCTCTCTCTGTTGATTGGCTTTGCTCCAGAACCCACTGGATGGAATTCCAGTGCCAGTGACCTTAGTGCTGGGAGCTCTTCTTCGGGGAAAGGAACCACATTTTCAGGATGGAAGTTCTTCCCATAACCACCCCAAACTCTTCCTGTTGTTCTGAATGCCCTAGTCCCATTCTCAGAGGAGATGGACAGTGCTGGAGAGGGTCAGAGAAGGAGGCTGCCTCCCTGGGGCAAGGGGCTGCTGCTGTATTTCTAAATGTTGTGGTTGGGGCCTGGCTGCTTCTGGATCTCCCAGCCGATGGCTCAGGGTAGACCTACCTCCCTGCTTTCGTGGCCCAAAGTGGGGAGCTGTTGAAGAAGAAGGGCTGTCTCTGGTCAGGGGTTTCTGTTACTCCCCAAAGTATGTGTAACATACTTTGAGAACATCCTCTTGTTTTTATATAAAGTAGCTTTTATAGCAGAAATAACTATCATGGCCCAGGAAAAGCCAGCAGAAGCTGGTAGATCTAAGAGTAAAGTCTAGAGGGTGTCCCTGGTGGCCTAGGGGTTAAATCTCAGCTCTATCACCACTATGGCCTGAGGTCAATCCCTGGCCATGGAGATGACCCACATGGCACAGACCTGTCCTGTCTTACCTGTTGCTTCCCTCAGCAGTGCACTTCAGTAAAATCTGCCTGTTCTGCTCCCCACTCTGTCTCCTGTGAATCCTCTCACACTCACCCTACATCTCTGGCCTACATCCCAGTTCTATGCCAAAAAAAAAAAAAAAGCAAAGTCTGATCTGAGCGCCACAAGGACTTTGCTTTCCAGGCACTGAAGGCTGAGCTGGGCCTGTGAATCAGCTACTGTGGACTGGGCCTGAGGCTGAATGACCAAACTGCCCGATAGGGCTGTAGGACTTTCTGACACACCTTGATAGTCATTTGCGTCAGCTTCTCTACAACAGGCCCCTGTCCACTCCTGGGCCCTCTCCTCACATTCCATCCTTGACCCAGAAATTTCCCTTTTATTCTTCTCACATTTTTTTTCTGACTAAGTTGGGGTCTTTATGTGGATTTAGTGACAGAAAGAGGTGTGTGGTATCATGTCACGGAGTCCAAAATTATACCCCCCAGAGGTGTACCAGATTGCATGATGATACAGTTGATACACTTTAATGCAATTTGTAAAGAAACTCTTTTTTCTTGCTTTTGCATACTCTCCAGAAATGGTGCCCATGGAAACATCACTCTTCTCCACTCCAACTGGGTTGTTTCCAAAACCTTTTTATTGGTATCGCACCATACAGGGAAGTGTGTAGGTCTAAAAGCAGCACCCACATGCAGAAACACCACCCCAAACTTTAAGGCTGCTTGTGGGAATGAAGCAGGGTCATGACTGAGGTCACTGGCCAGTACCCTTCATTCAAAAAGCACTCCTTGGACATCTGTCCTGTATCCAACACTATTAGCTGTTGTGGGGATGAAAGAATAAG